CCTAAACTTCAAGTTTAGCATGAGTAATTCAAATCAAGGATTATTAAGGTGTGTTTAGAATACTACATACTATAAAATACTTAGAAGCATTTAGAACTACAGAAAAGACTTTTTTTCAGAACCTTTAGCATAACAAACTATACTCAAAGGTGTTGGTTAAGCCAGTCTGGTGGTGCATGCCTATAAACCCAGCACTCAGGAGACTGAGGCTGGAGGACTGCTGCAAGTTTGAGGCCAGCCTGGGCTATATAGAGCATCCAAGGCCAGCATGAACCACAGAGACTGTCTCAAAAAACAACAACAACAAAACAATAAAGTGTTGGTTAGTTTCAAAAACAGTATTGTTTTCTTTTTTTGGTTAATCTGCTCTACAGCAATTTAGAAATAAATTATTTCTCAATTGTTATTTCTCAACTGTCCTGCATATAATTACTAATTTGGAACAGAAATATTTTTACTTCCTAGAATCTAGATAATCAATATTCCTACCACCCAATATCTCTAATAAGATTTTAAAATCACAATGAGTAAAGGATTTCGAATTACAGTTTCAGACAAGCTACTACCTCTAGACTCAACTGACCAAGGAATAATTCACAGTGAGGTTTATGATACAGTTGTTAAGAAAAAAAGACAAAGATACAAAACATGAATGTAGCAACTTCAACAATTATAAACAAGTTGTGGGGTGAGGCTTCCATATATCTAATAATACAAGGCCGTATGTGACAATCTTTAAATATTCATAACACAAAAGAAAATACCATGTAAAAGTTAACTTTAAGAATATCTTCTTTTGGGGCTGGAATATGCTATAAGGGGCATATAAACAGTAAATTTAGAACAAAAGTTTTCTAGTTAAAAGATACAGCAATATAATAAAATATCACAGAATTACCACCAATGTCTTAGATATTTTTCTCTCGTTGCTGAGACAAAATACATGACGCCCAAAATTAAAGGGGGAAAGGTTTATTTGGCTTACAGTTCATAGAGATTTCAGTCCATAATCAGCTGGTTCCAAGGCAGAGTGGGAGAGGGCAACAATTCATGGCAGGAGAAAACAGCAAAAGGAAGAGACTTTAACAGTGTCTTCCTGCCCCTTTTATCTTATTCAGACTATTTAGGGCTGGTAGCACTCACATCCTTAATCCTAGTGCTCACAGGCCTAGCACTGTACCATGAATTAATCACACACTGCAGATTCAGCCACCAAGCCTAAGACACATGAGACTTTGGGGGGACATCTAGACACAAGCCATAACAAGCACCAAACTACTGTGTAATTATTTTAGATACAATCATCTCATGCTCCTTTAGAGAAAAAGATGAAGATGACCAAGCAAGTAAAAAACAACTCAATCAGTTTCACAGTCTTAATCTATTACATATATAGGAATTATTTTTCTTTTGAAACATAGTATTTAGATAAATACAAGTAGATATTTTAGATACTGATAAATATTTAGATAAGTAAAAATACAGGGAACTATCTGATTAATTTAGGAACAAATCCACAAATTTGGTTGAAGTTATTGTATTAACAAGAAAGTGAAAAGAGGGCTCTTTTATCATTCACTTTCTTTAATGTCCAAGAGAACTGCTTTTAAAATGCTACCTTCTGAATAACTGCTTCCTTTATAAAGTGAAGGGAAAATAAAATGTTGCTGACTCTTGGGAGGTACATAAGTTAATTATACATTATAATTGGCATATATTCTACATTAAAGCAATGGTTCTTAAGCAGTGACGAGTTTTGCCCCCTTGGGGGACATTTGGCAATGTCTAGATACATTTTTGGTTTGGAGCGGTGCTACTGGCATCTCAGTAGAGTTCAAGGATGCTGCTGAATATCTTACAATGTTCAGGACAACCTATACACACACAGATTTATCTGGGCCATTCTGAGGCTGAAAAACCTTGTTTTAAAATTATCATAAGGGCCAGGGATTTAGCTCAGTGGTTTTGCCGCCTGCTGCGCAAGCACAAGGACCCGAGTTCAATCTCCAGTACCAAAATAAAAAAATAAAGAAAGATAAACGAACAAACAAACAAACAAATAAATAAATAAATAAATAAAATTATCATATAAGGTAGCCGGGTGTTGCTTCCTGTAATCCCAGCACTTGGGAGGCTGAGGCAGGAGGATCGCTGCTAGTTCAAAGCCAGCCTGAACTACGTAGCGAGATCCTATCTCCAAAAAAAAATTATCACATAAGGAAGATTTTATTTATAATAGTAACAATAATATTATTATTATGGGTTTTTCTGAGACAGGGTCTTGCTATGTAGCCCAGGCTGGCCTCAAACTCGACACAATCCTGCTTCAGGTGTGTACCACCATAGCCAGCTACATAAGGAAGATTTTATCTTTTTTTTTTTTAATGGTACCAGGAATTGAACTCGACCATGAGCTTGCCAGGCAGGATCAATGCCAATGAGCTAAACTCCCAACCTCAATAAGCAAGATTTTAGAGAAGCAGACCAATGTGCTGTGCTCTTTCCCAAAGGGCTTAGTCTTGTTATAGACATGATATATTGTTTCAGAGTAGTTTTAAAATGAGACAAATTCTATCCTTTTTAACTCTAAGATGTAATCACTTCAGAACTAATAAACAAGGATAAAGATATCTATTTGATCATCAACATATAAGATAGTTTTTTAAAATTTGCTTTTTGTTAAGTAACTGATAATTTAGGAATTATGTTCCATAGTTTTTTATTCTAGCTGTTGTTACCAAAAATGACAAAGTACTCTAAAAATCTCCATCTCCATTGAAGGAGACAGTGAGCTTGCAAAAACTATCAGATATAATGTTTTATGATCTCTGGAATCTAATAATTTACCGCAAGCAAAGGGGAGGTTAACAAAGAAAAGTCTATGAAATTTTATTATTTAAAGATACCTCTGTCACTGGCTAAAATGGAGTCTTCAGTGAGCACTCGAGGTAGGGAATACAGACTTTGCTAAATTCGCATGGAAAAGTCACTAAGCAAATACACAGGTGCAGCCCACAATAAGCAGTAACAGTAAGGTCTGAGAGGAAGAGAAATCTGAATTTCAGAGTTAACGATATTACAAAATTCAAAATGTCCAGATCATAACCCAAAATTACAAAGCATGTAAACAAACAAAAAGGAGAGCTCATTCACAGCAAATAAAGAAAGTAATAGAGGGCCTGGGATTTAGCTCAGAGGTTCCAGCGCCTGCCTCGCAAGCACAAGGTCCTGAGTTCAATCCCCAGTACCCAAAAAAAAGAAAGTAATAGAAACTATCACTGACAAAATACGGACAATTGATGTACTAAACAAAAACCTTTAACTTTCTTAAATTTGTACAAAGCTGAAGGATACTATGGACAATGAACTATATAGGTAACCAGGAGAATGATGTCTTAAATAAAAAAGAAAGACACAGAAAAAGCAACCAAATAGAAAATTTAGTGCTAAGATGAACAAGTAAACAGAACCTAAGGAAATTGTGGCATATCAGGAATAGGACCCACACAGGTACTGTGGGAATTCCAGGAGAGAAGATGGGAGAGAATGTTTGAAGAAATAATGGTCCGAAACTTCTTAAATCTGATAAAACTTATGAATCTACAAATCCAGGAAGCTGAATGAACATTAAGGAAAACTGCAAAGGATCCCCACATGTATGTACTATAATCATACAGTACAAACTGCCCTAACTCAAAGCCATCTGAAGGAAAAAAGAACATCAGTAATGGTAACTACACAGTAGTTACCAGTAATAGCCAGTAATATTGTAGTTTTGGTTTGTAATTTTTTCCCCTCACATATGACTTTTTAAAAAACAAATACATAAGATAGTAATTATAAACATGTTAAAGAACATACCACAGATAAATAATTTGTGCAGTAAGAACATATGGGGGCCTGGGGATTTAGCTCAGTGCCACAGCACCTGCCTGGCAAACATGAAGTCTTGAGTTCGATCCCCGGTACCCCAAAAAAAGAACATATGGGGCTGGGGATTTAGCTCAGTGGTTCCACTGCCTACCTCGCAAGCAAAACTTTTGAGTTCAAGCCCCGGTATAAAAAACAAAAAAAGAACATATGGGGAAGAACTAGATCTGAGAAGTAGTTCTGTATGCTACTGAATGTAAATCAGTATCAATCCAACCTTGATTGTTATCAATTTAGAATGCTAAATGTGATCTCCATATTGGCCAACAAAAAAAGACTAAATACAGAAAAGTAAATGAGCAGGCAATCAAAACAGCATATTATTCTTTTTTGAATCATAGCATGATTGTGGGGATAAAAAAAAAGAAAGAAAATCTGTAAGAAAACAACATTTGAACTGTACAAACCAATTAGATGTAACAGACATATACACAACACTATTCAACACCAGCAGCATTCTCTAAGATAAACTATGTTACGCCAAAAATCAAGTATTAATAAATTTTAAAAGATGAAAATCATAGAGTATCCTCTCTAATCACAATGGAAACAAGAAATTTGCAAATATGTAGAAATTAAACAAAAACCTCTTAAACTACCATTGAGTGAAAGAAGAAATCAGAGGATGATTAAGCGAAAATATGTTGATACCAATGAAAAGAAAAAGCACAGACAGACGCTGCCTTGCGCCAGACGCTGCCTTGTGCCTGGTGCTGCTGGACATTGCGGCCCGGGCCCGCAGGCTGCTGGCGCGGGCGAAAGGCTGCATGGCGAATGGGGAATTGCGGAACGGGTACGTGAGGAGCGCCGCTCTCGCTGCTGCCGCCGCCGGCCAGATCCATCATGTTACAGAAAATGGAGGACTTTATAAAAGGCCATTTAATGAAGCTTTTGAAGAAACGTCCATGCTAGTTGCTGTGCTCACATAGGCGGGGGATGGTGTCCTCACCCTCTTTGGATATCTTCCAGATTTCTTGAGGCACTGGAGAATTGAAAAATGTCACCATGCAACAGAAAGAGAAGAAAAGGAAACCTGGACAAGTGTGAAGAAGTAGAGAAGCTTGTAGCAAGGTTCTTGGGAGTAGAAGCTGCTATGGCATATGGCATGGGATCTGCAACAAATTCAATGAACATTCCTGCTCTTGTTGGCAAAGTAAGACACTTTGTCATTTGTGAAAATTCCCAACGTTATTCCTCCTCCTCCCCCTCCTTCTCCCTCTCCCTCCCCCCTTCTCCACCCACCCCCCCATTAAAGCATTCAGGCTGGGTGTGGTGGTGCACACCTGTCATCCCACCACTCTGGAAGCTGAGCCAGGAGCATCACTGTGAGTTCAAGGCCAGCCTGGACTACATAATGAGATCCTGTCTCAAAAAGAAAAATAATAAATAAACCGTTCAGAGTTTCAGGAGATCAGCTTGAAACCGCACTGAGCAGGCTTTAGATGGTATTGATTTGACTTATGAATTCAGCTATTGATTAAGATTGAGTCACTCCACTGTCACATAGTTTGATTTATTATTCAAAACAAAACTCTACTGAAAATTTTTGTGCTGTGCCTTTTCTGTAGAAGGGAAGATATTCAAAGTGTATAAACACATAAATGTTTTTGTTTTACAACTAAATTGCCCTTTTAAAAAAAATGTGGAGGTGACAAAATAATAAATACATATTTTAGAAAATTCAAACAACACAGAAATAAATAGAATAAGAAGTTACCATTCCTATACCTAAAGTGATCATATTATCCAAATCTGAATGTATTTAAGAGTAAAAGGAAGTAATAATCATGTAACTACTCCAGGAGTGTAGGTGAATCAGAATTGTCTGTCAGAAAGAGTCCCATGATTGGGAGGTATACAAAGAAGTAAAACATTTACTGAAAAGTCTGTATTTGTATTTGTCCTGGTTCATGGATACATAACTATTTAAAAATTTCTTTACCTTTTCTGTATGTATGTCACAAAATAAATATAAATAGCATTAATAAAATCTTGAAAAGAAAAAGCACATATCAAAACTCAGAATATTCAGTGCAATATTCAGTGGTCAAGAAGTAATTTCAGCTATAAATGTCTGTATTACGAAAATAAGACAGCTGCATTCAGTGGCACATACCTGTAATCCCAGCACTCTGGGAGCTGAGGCCAAGAGAGCCCAGTGCCAAGTCTGAACCCAGCCTGGACAGCTCAGTGAGACCCTGCCTCAAAACATGCAAAGATGGGCCAGGGATTAGCTCAGTGGTCCGGCCACCTGCCTCACAAGCACAAGGTCCTGAGTTCAATCCCAGGTACCAAGAAAAGAAAACATGCAAAGAAGCGGGGTGTGTTTGGTGGGAATGGAACTCTGCGCAAAAGCCTTGGTTCAATCCCCACCCACTACTGCAAACAAACAAACCAAGAAACTACAAACAAACTACAAGAAACAAGAAACTAAAAAAAAAAAACAGGGCCAGGGATTTAGTTCACGGGCACAAAGCCTGCCTGGCAAGTGCAAGGCCCTGAGTTCAATCCCCAATACCCAAAAATAAAAAAATAAAGCAAATAAATAACAGAGCTAGTAAAAATGGATAAAGATTACAATGCAGATAAAGGACAGAAAATCAACAGTGAAAATTAACAAAACAACTGGTTCTTCAAAAACATCACGGGCTGAGGATTTAGCTCAGTGGCACCATGCCTGCCTGCCAAGTGCAAGGCCCTGAGTTTGATTCCTGGTATTAAAAAAAAGGGGAGGGGGGGGATTTAGCTCAGTGGTGCCTCCACCTCCCTTGCAAGCATATGGTCTCAAGTTCTACCCCCAGTACCAAAAAATTAATAAATAAATCAACAAAATTGACAGCCTTTTTACTGGACCTAATGGAAAAAAGCAAGAAAAAAAAAAATCTAAACTAAAATCAGAAATGGAAACAGAGATGTAATTACTGACCATACAGAAACAGAAAGGATCAAAGAAAATACTAAGAATGAGTATACACCAACAAATTAGATGACCTACATGAAATGTACAAATTTCTATAAACATACAGATTACCAAAAACTACTCAGAAATTTAAAAACCAGAATAGATGTGAAGACAGAGATTGAAAAAATAATGTAAGAATGTCCCAAAAATATAAAAAAAAATCCAGTACTAGCGGGCTTCATGGGTGGACTCTACCTAACATACAAAGAGAAATTAACACCAATCTTTTTCAAACACTTCTAAAAAGCAGTCGGGTGTGGTGGCGCACACGTGTGATCCCAGCACTCAGGAGGCTGAGACAGGAGGATGGCTAGGACGGACTACACAGTGAGTTCAACACCAGCTTGGAATATTTACCGATATTCTGACTCAAAAAACCAAACCAAACCACCACAACAAAAAACACTTCTAAAAAGTAAAAGAGAGAATAGTTCTTAATTAATTTCATGAGACTAGCATGGCCCTAACACAAAGACACCAAAAGAAAACCACACAGTAATACCTTTTATGAATACAGATGCAAAAATGTTCAACAAAAACAGTAGCAAAGTGCACACAACGGCACACTAAAAGGATTAACATAACTATATATAATTATTTGCTTATTTAAAAAAGGATTATACTCCTTGACCAAGTGGGATTTCTTCCAAGGTGTTTCACCACATTCAAGTCAATCGGTTTAATAGTTTTTCCTTTGTAAAACTAAACACAATGAGTGAAAAACCCAAATATAAGAGCTAAAACTATAGAATTCCTACAAGAAAATAGAAGGGGAAAGTTTCATGAACATGGATATACTAATAGTGTCTTCAATATGACATTAAAAGCATAGGCAACAAGAACAAAGGACAACTGTACTTCTTACAAATGAAGACGTCTGTTGCATTAGCTAGGTTCAGTGGCCCATGTCAGTAGTCCCAGTATTAAGGAGAGTGAAGTAGGGTACAATGTGAGCCAAGGAGTTCAAAACCAGCTTAGGTAACATATTGAGACCCAGCTTCAACAACGACAATGACAATAACAACAGCAACAGCAGCAGCAGCAGCAACAGATCAAAGAATACCATCAACAACCCAAAGAATACCATCAACAACCCAGAGAATGGGTAAAACTATTTACAAACCACATATAGGCTAAGGGGTTAATATTCAGAATATATAAAGAACTCCTACAAGTCAACCACAAAAATAAACTCAAAAGTGGCAAAAGATTTAAATAGAAAGACCTCTGAAAAGATATTTAACACCCCCTGCTGCACAGGCGCAAGGACCGGAGTTCGATCCCCGGTACCAAAAAAAAAAAAGAAGAAAAGATATTTAACATCTGTAGTCAGGAAAATGCAAATCAAAGGAGATAATCACATACTACTATACTATTCGGCTGGCTACCATTAAAAAAAAAAAAACCCAAATCACAGAAAAATAAAAGGAATGTACAAGATGTGGAGAAAGTGGACCTGCATACTTCACTGGTGGAAATGCAAAAAAAATAGTACAGCTGCTGAGGTTAACAATATAGTGGTTCCTACACAATTGAAATAGCATTACCAAAAGATCCAGCAATCCTAAAGTACATGAGTGTCAGCGCCTCTCAATGGATACATTCATGCACACCCAAACACACACACACACACACACACACACACACACGAGGAATGAGATTGTGAGAAATGTTAAACATGAAGCTTGAAGATGTTATAAAATAAACCAGTCACAAAATAACAAATACTGTAGTACCCTATCTAAATGAAGTACCATGAATAGTCAAATTATCATAAGGATAAAAGGTAGAATAGTGGCCATGAGAGTCGGGGGGAAGGAGAAGGGAGAGTTATTATTTAACGGGTAAAGAGTTTTAGTTTGGGATGAATAAAAAAGTTATGGAGATAGACAGTGGTGATGGTTATACAGTCACAGTAATTAAACGGAAAAGTTTATGTTAAGTATACTTTACCTCAATAAAAAGAAAGAAAAAGTTCATTTAAAAAAGAATGCACTAGGGCCAAGGATTTAGCTCAGTGGCACTGTGCCCACCTCACAAGCGCAAGGTCCTGAGTTCAATCTCCAGTACCAAAAAAAAAAAAGAGAGAGAATCCACTATAATGCTGAGAAAGTCTAAACACTTAAAAGAGCACCGAACAAGAGCCTGAATTCTTTATTCATAAAGATCACAAAGATAATCTCAAACAGAAGAATATAAAATTCTAGAAAAGATACTGCAATCTCAGTAAATCTACAGAAAAAGAAAATACAGAAAAAAAGATACTGTAGAAGAAAATACAGAAAAGAAGATACTATAATCTCAGTAAATCTACAGAACCTGGAATAGTACATATGTATATAGAGAAAATCAGTTCTGTTTTTAACATAAGTGAAGTGTTACCACTGTTAGTATCTTAAGTACTTCCCACTAGCTATAAGTGAATTAACAAAGTATTAATCCTGTGCTGTTATATGTAATAAATGTAGTTTTCTCCAAAATGGTACTGTCAACAAGAGTCGATTTCGATTCCCTGCATTTCTGATATACAATATATTGAACTAGGGAAATCTTTAAATGGCACACAGTAGTCCAGTGATCAAAGATTTGGTGTCAGACAGATTTTAATCCTGTCATTTGCCCACAGTGTGCCTGCATTGTAGCAAGTTATCTGGGTCTTTTATTTCTTTTGCCTACTATCTTTAATCTTATTTTTGTCATTTCAATTCTATCTCAAATGAGTAGGAAATAACTTTATAATCTTAATACTTTTGCCTCTAAAGATGAACATGATCAGGAAGCTCATAGAAAACCAAGCTATTTTGTACCCTGCTCCCATACAACCAAGGAGCACAGGTGAAGAGTAATTGCCACTGTGACTTGGAGGCATGCATGTGGTAAAAGTACCAAAATAACTACTAATTATAAAAGAAGGCAATTTTGCCAAAGGAAACTGGAGAGTCAAAAGAATTAAAGGAATTATAATTCTTACATAATTTTTTAAAACTCTGCAGGCAGGTCAGTGAGGTCAATCCTGAATAAAAATACTCTTGGTATTTTAGGGGTGGGACGTGAAGAAGGGGTAGGAAGAGGGAAAGGAAAGAAAAAACAGTAAGTTCTACAGACTTCAATTTTCCTTTCATTTTTTTTCAATAACCACAAAACAGGACCTATTCTAAGTATGCTAGCAATTATATGCTATATAACAAAACCAGTGTGCTAAATCTATACTATAACAAAACTACAGTAATGATGTAGACCTTTAAAAAAAAGCAACACTATTAATAAATTACACAAGAAAAATCACAGAAAATTTTAAGTTCATTTGCTATAAGCCAATGAAGTAGTTCACTTTGTAAAGCAGTTATAGTAAGAATATAAAGAAACACAATAAAATGTTATTATTTGAACTCCCCAATTCCATGAAACTATGACCTCCGTGAGGGAAAAAACTGTTGGTTTGATCACTGCCGTTTGCCCACTGCCTGAAACAAAATAGTGCTCAGCATATAGGAGATATCCAACAGATATTTGGTTCACTAAATTACGTCTTCTCTTTAATATCAGTTTTCCAATCAGTATAGCCTTCCATTTTAGTTTTGTTATTCTATAGGTATTTGTGTATTTCCCTAACTTTGTCTGAAAAAGATTTTAAAACAATCCAAAAGATAATTCAGTCCCTTTTAAAGTTTCTTTTCAAATTTCTATTTGTATGTCTTCAGCCTTCTTAAACTTTACTAAGAGCATAACCTGAATCAAAACACAAAGCTTTGCAATGTAACCATTTGTGTCACTCCCTACTCATCTCTGCCACACCATTTCTCTTGCAGTCTGAACACAACAATCATGTCATATTTACTTAGGAGGAGGAAGAAGTTGCATATATCCCAGCGTAAAACTGGTACTAAAGTCTCCTGAGGTCAAGCTATTCCAGTAGGCTCTCCAGATAGCTGGTTATTCAATGACAGTCTTTGTTGTAGTGTAATTTCTTAATTTCAAAAGAAATTTATTTCTGCAAGAATTTCATAGTTTATGCAGCATGTATGTACTGTACTTGAAGTAATATACCTGTTTCTTTTTAAACATTTTGTAAAAAGAATACTTCAATAAAACTGGCAAACCTACATGACTTATTTCTTCAAAATTAACACGATATTTCTGCCCTGCCAAAAGAGCTATCCCTCATTGTCTCAACTAGTCAGGCAGTCCATTAGACAATTTGTAACTGTACTTAAAACTACATAGGTGAATTCATTTTCATTATTATTGTTCAATGCTACTGACACAGCAAGAAGCTAGAGGCTGGTATATTACCATTTTTTGACCAGTGAAAAGGAAAAACAGAATTTCTAAAACTTTGGCAGGGAAAAATCCTTCCAAGTCCATGAAGATGATGAGAACACCTCTGATGCCACTATGTAATAATTTTGAGTCAACTATCTTATAATGCAAGACTTTCTGCAAATTACTGTTAATTTTTTTCTTCTAAAAAATTAAAGCCAGGCCTGGTGGCACACATCTGTAATCTCAGCTCTTGGGAGGCTGAGGCAGGAGGATTGCCCAAGTTGAGGGCCAGCCTGAACTATATAGTTAGATCCTGTCTCAAAATAAAGTTCTGGGCCAGGGATTTAGCTCAGTGGTTTTGCCACCTGCTGCGCAAGTGCAAAGACCCAAGTTCGATTCCCGATATCAAAAAAATAAAAAATATGGAGGGGGTGAAGGGCGCACAGGTAATGGGGAAAAAATAAGAACTAAGCTACATCATGTACAGGTACAAGTACCCAATGATAAATGTAAATGTATTTTATACCTAAAATGTACCAATAAAAGAGCTTAAAAATAAAAAATAAATAAGATAAATAAATAAGGTTTATGCGATCTGAAGAGAAACCAGAGTATTAAAATAAATAAATAAATAAATAAAATTTTAAAAAATAAAGCTCTGGACTGAAAACTTCTTGTATACTACATACTTTTATTTCTCAACTGCAAGCTGTAAAACTGATAAAATCAAGTGTACCATAATTTCCATTATCTTCATAATAAAATTCTGTCAGACAGTAATAGTAGACTCTCCTTATATTTTAAGTTTTAATAAAAATAAGGGAGTAACTTATCTTTCCAAAAGAAGACACATTTTCATTTCATTACCCCAGATTAAATGAGATCCTCCATAAGGAAAAAAATAAAGCCTAAACTAAGCAGCAATTCAACAAAGACCGAATATCAGATGGTGACTGAGCCCAAATTAATTATATATATGCTGTATTTCATCTTGCTATTTTGAGTGCAACATGAAAGAAGTAGCTGTATAATTTTCCCAGTATTTCAGACGAGATCATGCGTGTTCAGGGTGGTACGGCCATAGACTCCCGGTATTTCAAAATACTTTTATTTTCACTGAGTTGGGATAAGTCCCATACAGCAATTGTGTACTTCTGATTTCCAGCAGATGCACACAAATATTTAACAAGGCCCTTTCAACTGACTGTTTACCATAATTACTTTCAGACATTGTAATGTGCAAGAAAAACAAATAACTTACTGTCTCGGAGTGTTTCCCAAGCCCATTGATCATTTTTGAAGAACAGATGCCTTTTGATTTCTTCTACACCATTTCTCCCTAATCTCACTTCTCTGATTAGAGACAAAGGAAGAAAAGTAATTAATTGTTTTAGATCTTATTATAACCTGTCTAGGTTTATTTGAAGCAGAATACTAAGCCTGTACAGATCTATGTCACCTTGAAATTACATTGTCACATAATTTTCAACTCAAATAGAAAATAAACTGAAGACTGAGAACAATAAAGTAACTGTTTAAGCAAAGTGTGATGTGCATGCCTGTAACCCCAGCACTCTGGGAGGCTGAGGCCGGAAGATCACAAGTTTGAGCCTAGTTGGGGCAACTTAGCAAGAGCTTGTATCAAAATTTTAAAAAAACAAAACCAACAGCTGAGGATGTAGCTCAATGCAAAGGCCCTGGGTTCAAGTCCCATGACTGAAAACAAGAATGTTTTTTAAAAACTATTAAAAAATACAAAAAACAGAGATTTGTTAGTATTTCGTGAATTTCTATTGATAATACTGATCCAATGAATCATCACCTTGCTCATAAAGCTGTATAAATAACACAGTGCATTTTCTTGACTTTTTTTATAGCTATAAAGTTATGCATTTTTTGGTGCAACTAACTTCACATCAAATGATACCAACACCTTTAGAAAAATCCCTTGTAAAATTTAAATTTCCATTTTATAACTTCAATTTTCCTGGCCAATCAAAAACCAATGACAAACCAATGAGCTAAATGGGGATTTAGCTCAAGGGTACCGCACCTGCCTTGCAAGTGCAAAGTGCTAGAGTTTGATTCCTGGTACCAAAAAACAAAAACAAACAAAAAAACCAATGATAACTAATTACTGGCAATGCTACAAAATTCAAAGCTTTTCTCTTTGGTGATTCTTTTCAATGTGCCTTTAACTGAACTGGAAAGAACTCAGCACTGTTTGTTCCCTAGGATGCTTATAAACAATGAGAATGCTCCAAACTCCAAATTTTTCCATCACAGAAGATAAATTGTTAGATGTCTGACACGTTCTCTAAGAAGCTTTTACTGACTCTCAGATTGGATTAAAGAATTCTATGGCACACAATACTTACTTCATTGTAATTATCTCTCTGTATCACAAATCTTTGATTTGTCTATTTTCCCCAAAAGATGAGGTAGCTGAGAAAAATGTACCTTGCTTGCTTCTATATGCCTAGCACCTAACTCACATCATAGTACAGCTATTTATATTGAAATAAAAATTTGAAAACTATACCTTTCAAGCTCTAAAAGGTATATTTTTAAAAAGCAAGTTAAATTTAAAATGGATTTCAAATTGAAACATATGTATAAGTATTAGGCCTCCCTATTTAAATTAATACTATACAATCATCCAAATTAAATGTGATCTTACTAAATCACCTGTTTCACTTTTAATTGTGAAAGTAACCCACACAAGAGTGCTTGCCTAGCATGCACAAGGTTTTGTGTTTAATTCCCAGGAAAGCAAAAATTAAAAATTAAAGGTAAATCACAAGAGTACATATAATACACTATTTGTTTCAAAAATATATATACAAGTATATAAAATGCTTACTGAATCTGAAAAACACAACAGTAATGACTAAAAGAAAGGAGGCAGAGAATGTATATCCAAGTTTTACAGCTTTGTGCTATTCATTTCAATATAATATATCATTAAATAGAAAAAGGAATAAATTAGAAGATTCATCATCTTTTTTATGTAACTGGGGCCAAATGGTCCTAATTGAAGTAATATATACTACTGATAAGAGATGCATTCTAATTTCAGAGACATTAATACTTAAGAAAAAAATCTTACACTTGGTAGATTAAAATACTATCATCATGATAATTAAGCAAGCTGAAAATTTAACAAAAAGATTATCTGGTATCAGCCATCAGCCAAGACTATTATTACTGCAACTGCTTAGATACAGTAAGTGAACTGAGACACAGAAAAGATACTAGAATATAATAAAATTATACTAGGTTTCATTGTCATAAATGATTTGGGGAATGATTGCTTTTATATTCTGATAAGTTCATAGGAGCTCAGATGTGGACTTTAAAAATTGAGTAGCAAGATGAAAATTCCTTAGAAGTTCAATGTTAAGAATATTTACCTGTCAGTAAGGAAGGCACAAATAAGATTTTTTGCTTCTTTTGATATATCATTGTCATCAGGGAAGGTAAGTGAATTTTTATGGTTCATAATCTTACTGTAAGTTCCAACCAAAGAATCTGCGTAGAAGGGTGTATCACCTAAAAAGTTGATAGAGAAAACAGAAGCAAAATAACATAATTATTTTTGTATTGCATACAATAACTAATTTATTAATATTTTAAAAATCCAAACAGCATAATAAATTTGGCTTCTTTTCCCCACAGAAATGGGAAATATATTTCAGTAAAGGACAATTTAATTATTTTTACATACTAGACTGTTAGGTTCTATGGTTCTTTAAAATGATACTAGCAAAAATACATTAACTGATTAGTACAGAAAACACTTTACAATAATATGGCAAGCAAGAAACAAAAACTCATGAGAAAAAACCCTGCTTTAAAGAAAAATTTCAAATAAACTATTACAATACAGTCTATCCCTAATATTAAGCCCATTAATAGAGCACTTCTGTACATACATACAAAAAAAAATAACTGTGGCATATATTGCAGCAATACAAAATTAAAGGTCATAACGTATATGACTTAAATACCCCCTCCCCCATTGATATAGTGGCTTCTTATTCCTTAAACATAGAAACTCTGCTCTTCATGGTAGAAAGATGAAGTCTTCTCATCAAAAGGCACATTCTTATCTTCTAGGATGATCGGCATCAAACAAAGTGTTGTCATCATCCTCATCATCTTGTTCCAAAGGTGTCAATTCCAAAACACCGTACCCTCCTCGTCTCGGTTTTTCCTTCTCATCCTGACTGTCCTGACCACAAAGTACACGGCTCACCACCATCAACACGATCAGGGCTCGCTGTGTCATAGGCTTGCGGCCAGAGCGGGGGCTCACAGCCAGGCCACCCCCGACGGAGGCTTCCCCGGCCTTCCACCCTGAGATCGTCCTCTGCAAGGCCCGCCCAGGGGCTGCTGCCACTGGCACCCTCTGAGCCATGAAGTCCTGAGACTTTGGCTGGAGCCTGGCCCGGCGTCGCCGCGGTGGGACCCGGGGGCAGTGGCGGGAGGGTCTGTGGGCCAGAGTCTGGCCCGCAGCACTGGCGTGGGCCCGCCCACGGCGGGCAGCAGCAGGAGCAGCACGGAGAGCAGGAGGTGTCGGAGGCAGCAGCGACAGAGCCCAGTGCCGGGCCGGCATAGTCCCCAGGCCACCCTCTCACCACGTCGCAGCCGCCTGGCCCGCCACCCTGGCTCCACGAGAGACCATGGGCGCACTAGGAAAAGTGGCGGCCGGATCCTGAGCTAAGGCCCAGGAGGGCAGGTGGCAAGAGACAGCAGTGCCTGCCGCGCGGGCGGCGAACCCAAAATAACATACATTTGAAAACAATCTATTTCAAAGAGACAGCATCACTGTTACTTATTGAAAATGACTAAATACATGTTAAACTAAAAACATACTTACTATATAAAAAGAAATAACATCACAAAGTTGCTCTAAGCCTTTCTTTTAAAAACCCGTGGTTCCGGCGCCTGCCTTGCTAGCACAAGGTCCCGAGTTCGATCTCCGATACCAAAAAAAAAAAAAATCCAGAAAGAGCACGTTTGGATCATACATTGCTTAATGTAATAATTACTGTAAGTAGCCAAGTGGTAAATTTTGGCATAAGCCACTTTATTAGAGGTACACAAAACTTTCCTTTACTCACCTACAAGCATTTCATATAAAAATACTCCAACTGACCACCAGTCACATTCTCGTCCATAATAACCATCACCACCTTGGGATTTTAATACTTCAGGAGAAATATAATCAGGTGTTCCAACTGCTGTATCACATCGTACCATACCTTCCTAGAGAAAGTGTCAGATCCAATTTTCAATTATTAGGTATAAATAAGAAAAAGCTTCAATTATTATTTTTGGGGGGGATTAGGTCTATTGGTACATTTTAGGTATATAATACAGTTAGATTCATCATTGGGATCTTATACCTTAAAAAAAACTTCAACTATTTAAAACAATTTTCTTAATATAAACTGTGGAATTCAATCTTTGGGCTATAAAATATACCTAAGCTTAATGGAAACTTTCCAAAAAGTAACACATAGCTTAACCATATATACATACTGTATCTATACTTATTTTCTATATATATTACATTATATATATATATATATATATATATATATATATACACACACACACATACATACACTAGCGATTTTTTTATTTTGTTTTATTTTTTGGTACAAGATCTCACTGTGTAGTTCAGGCTGGCCTCAAACTCGTGGTGATCCTCCTGCCTCAGCCTCCCAAGTCCTGGATTACAGCCAGGTGCCACCACACCTGGTGCCACACTAGTGATTTTTGATACTGGCATCATATATTATTTTCTCAGGTGTGACAATATAATGATCTTATCTTAATTTGCATAGAACAAGTATATAAGCTAATGTAACCAGATTGAGTGACTGATAGGATGAAGTGCTTTATAACTTATAAATACTGATTTCATCTTTTTTACTAAATAGCTGTTCAATTATCCTTGAAACTGTGAAGAAAATATACAAAAGCTGACAATACAAATATGTATGGGGTAAAGGGCATGATAGTGTTAAGGACACTGTACACATACATGATACACATTTTAATGCCCTCCTCCAAAACTATTCATTTGTCATCTACTTTATTAATGCAATAGAATTATAACTAAATGTTCGCACAAAAGTTCTCATGGAGTGTTTCCTTCTAACCAATAAATTTCCTTTTAAAATGATAAAGCATTCTGACTATTGTTCTGTGATAAACTAAAAAAAAAAACTCAACTGAAAAGTAGCATATTACTTCCTTCAGCTGTGTATATAACTTATTTTTTATATAATAGTGAGCATGGATACCTTTTGAGATTGACTCCTAAGATAAGCAAGTAAAATCTACATGTTAACAGAAGTCAACTAAAACACTAAAAAACACACATTCTTGAAATTTAATTTTGTTTTTTGTTTTGTTTTTTTGGTACTGGGAATCAAACTCAGGACCTTGCGCTTGCAAGGCAGGCAGCGGAACCACTGAGCTAAATCCCCGGCCCTTGAAATTTAATTTTTATGAAATTCTAATTTTAACACTGGAGTATTTAGTGACATTTAAACTAATTCCATTTCTAGTTACCAGCAGTGTATATTATAGTTGTTATGAAGGATTTAGTACATCTGGCAAACCACATTTTCTCTAAATAGAGAGGAAAAAAAATAAATCACTAACAAGTTACTAATAAAACACTGAAACCATGGTATTTAGTTCAACAAATAAGGTCACATCAATTCTGGACAAGTCCAGATATGGTTAGTGAATTCAAACAACATTTTTTAAAGGACTATATCTTGGATTAGCAAAAACCAAATGAAAATAGAATTAATTAACCTTATTCATCTTCATACAAGTACCAAAATCTGCTAACTTCAAGTGTCCAGATTTATCCAGTAGCATGTTATCAGGCTTCACATCTCTGAAGGAGAAAAACACACTAGAGCATTTCAGAAACAGATCAGACACTGAGAAAAGTTATGAGGCAGGTATTTTAGGTCAAGTACCCTTACTCAGTCTATTTAAGGCCACTTTTATCTACATGTGCTCCCTTATCCATAATGGGAAATTCAAGTTCACCAAAAAAACTTCTTTATATGTGAATGCCCAAAAGAAGGCATACATATTTCTTTTTCTTTAGAGTTTGATTTTTCTAGGCAGAAATCAATCATTAACCACCAAAACATTAACTATCAAAAATGTAATGCTCAGATAAAACAGACAATTGAATCACAGAAGATAGTACATGCTCCAGGACAGGGTCCAAGCCATTTTCATTTTGATCCCTGACACACAGCATATGAAATTCTTCTTGTAGTGAGTAAATATGACCTTTCTTATTAATCATTAACTCAAAAGAAAGTATAATTAACTTTTAATTACATAAAATTAAAACCAAAGTGAATAACACTGGCATATACTTTAGAAAAAGTTTACTATTTTTACTTTTCAAAATATACAATCACATCAAAGAACATTAAAGAATACATTTATATCAACATTAAACTAAATATTAACACTAGAACTCCACAATGCCACTTATATTAAGGGGAGGAGACTGGAGAGACTTAGAATAAAAAATATTAATCAAATAAAGTCTAAGTTTCTAGGTATTATCTTCCAACTAGTAAGAAAATGTAAATTATCTTTACCTATGAATAAAACCCATGGAATGGATTGCATCCAATGCAAGAACTACTTCTGCAGTATAGAATCGTGCCCACTTTTCAGGCACATCATAGTTGCTCATTAGATTTACAAGGTCCCCACCAGGCATGTATTCCATCACCATGTAGAGATATCGATCATCTTGAAATGCATAAAAAAGCTATACCAATACAACAAAACAACAAATTTGTTAAGAGTAAGCAAAACTGTTTCATTTAAACACTGGTAAAATACTAATACAAAAGTAAAATAATCAAATTGCAGAATAGCTCTAAGTGCAATTAAAAGAAAAGACTGCTTCGCAAGCACAAGGTCCTGGGTTCGATCCCCGGTACCGGAAGAAGGAAAAAAAAGAAAAGACAAACATGCCACCAAGACCCACATATAAGCAAAAGTATAAACTTGTTATCCTGAAGAGTTTTCTTCCTAACTTGGTATACTATCTAAATTGTTTATCTCTAAGTTTCAATGAAGAGTATACAAATCTTGGGCATTAGTGAGGTTTACTGTTAAACTGAGCTACAATTCCAGCTGCTCCTTTATTAGCTGCTTGGCTCTGGCATTTGCTTAACTTCCCCAAGTTTCTATGATTATAATCCTTTATAAGAATATAAGGAACTGAACTTTCTCGACTTTCATATTTGCTTCTTGGTGACCAGTTCGATTCAAGAAATTCAGAATGAAACTAAAATATAAAAATCCCTAGAGACAACTAATTTATCTAGATGTTTATTTTTAAATCTTCATTTTTTTTTGCAATGGTGTTTAATGATTTTAATTACATACAGACTTGGTTATTTTAATTTAAAATATTTTGGTGGAAGGATAAGAAACTAGCATTTTAGGACTACTGTATCCCAAATTAAATTGTACCCAGGATCCCTGGATAGAAGCCAAGGGGCCCTTCAAACACCTAAAGAAACATACGAGTAACTAGAATAATGCATAGGATAGTCCCTCACACCAAATAATTATGTGGTTCAAAATGTCAACAGTACTGAATCTGAGAAACCTTGATCTACACAGTTGACAAAAACAGAGCAGACATTTCAAGTTTTAAAATGTGGTAAATGTAAATCTTTGACATTTTCCACATCTTTTTATTCCAGTTACTAATGCTTATTTAGACTAGTCTTCATTATACAATGTAAATCAAAGGATCTCATTTTTGTAACAAAATAAAAATATTATATTCTCATAGAAAATATTACTCAATTTGAAGACCCTGAGTGCAATCCCTAGTATTGCAACAAACAAAACAAAAGAAAATAATGAGTATATAAAGTTAAAATATAATAAACTTTTCTCAAATCAAAGCACATTATTTGATTAAATTCTACACAAATAATTTTTTTGCTTTGGTCTTTCTAGAGATGATTCAACAAAATTACATTTTATGATGTTAAAATGATGTACTAAATAATTTTGTAACTGCCAATAAATTATTATTGTTCTAAAGAAATTAATTTCTTAGATGTTTACTTACAAACCAATACAGTAATGATGAAATAGTAGCAAACTCATACCTGAACAACCCAAGGACTATTAGCAAAAGCCATGATGTCCCTTTCTTCCCAAAAAAAAGCAGAATCAGATCTCTTAATCATTTCAAATTTGCTGAGAAGCTTCATTGCATATACCTTCCTGGTAGATTTATGTCTTACCTTTAAAATTGAAAAATAACAAAAACCTTTTGTTAATATTTAAACCTCAATGTTTCATAGAACAATTTACTAAATGAGTCTGACACTTGTTAAATAATTTAGTATTATTGTTTCAGCTATTTTTATTCTTCCTGCTAAAATTCTCAGCTAGATCATGTCATGATTTCAACTACTGTAAGTAATATTGGGGAAAAAGGTCATTCCCGACTTCAGTAGTAACGAACCTACCGTATGCGTGCTGCAGTGTGCTGTTTGCATCACTGAAAGCTCTGAAAGTTTCACCATTGCTGCCCTATATTATATAACACACTTCCCCACTCCACTCCACCCAACTGTAAGCACTGCTCCTGTTTATAAAGCTTACTGTCCCATAGTATCTTAGATAATCTGACATTAGGGGCAAAGACTTCTCATGCTTGAGACTACCCAAGGATGCCTGGAGAAAACACTTCCTTCCAGTGCTGGATTTAGCCCAAGGCTTTCATATCCTTAGGCAAGAATGGTTGGAGCAAGAATTCTATAAAAACAATACTTCTCCAAATAATACATGTTAAACACAAACGTGGATTTTTAAAGTTTTTATAGATCTCATTAAAATAACCTACCAACTGAACTTCTCCAAATGCACCTCTACCAATCACTTTCACAACTTCATAATCTTCAGCTTTCATTCGTAAATCTCTGATTTTATTTATTGTATCTTTATCTGTATGAAAAGAAAAGTTTATAATTTTAAGTCACTAAAGCATTGTAACACTACTTATTTTACAATTAAATTATTCAGAAACAATCAAAAACCAAAACAAAAACTTTACTAAAAAATGATAGTGAAATTTGAAGTTATAAAAGAGAGAAATATTCAACGTGCTAAGAATTTTTTTAAATGAACTTTGGAATGGCCCTTCTACAGTACTGAAAGTTTTCATTAAAATTTAACAGTAAAAAGTTTTAAAAACAAATACTACACTATTAACAAAACCAGGATGATTAGTTCATTCATTCCTAATAACTTAAGTACATACCAAATTTGAATTTAGGGAACCAGGTAGATATTTTAGAGTAACTGAATAAAATTTTCTTTTCATCAAGTCGGCTTTGATGGTTCTTTAAAAAAGATATAACATTTAAGATATCAAAGGCAAATATGCTAAAGAATCAAAATAAATTTTCCAAAATTGCCAATCTTTAGTACTTATATCATTGTATTTCTCTATTTAAATCCAGATTTTAATTTCAAACACACAGTGGGAATCACTGCAATTATTTATATAAACCTGTCATGCTACAAACTATAGTAATGTATAAATCCCTAATGGATAGATATTCTAATTCCTAATTTGGTCACAGATTAAAATAGGCCTATTTTAATCCACATGGGTCAACACTGGCAAGAGATTACATGGAACAGCTGCACATTTTAGAGTTGTACAAAATAAAAAAACAGCTATTAAACTGAAATTCTAGTTCCTAATAAAAGAAGCAATAATGTTCTTGTATTTCTTTGAAAATGCACATTCAAACACAAGCATTTCTGTACATTATGATCAATAAACACATGCAACAGAAGCAAATTTCCACATAGGAATAAATACATTAATTCAAGGTTATGTATTCACTGCAAGATAGATACACTAGAAAAATATATAGTAAATATATAAATTTATATTGGCAATAATTAATTGCACAAATATTCCTGTCTACCATATGTCAGGCTCTAATCTCACTGGAGATATAAAGGTAACTTTAAAATATAATTCTTGCTCTTAAGAATTTCAAACTCTGGCAAATGACACAGAAATAAACAATAAAAACGTAATTTAAAATGTAGTAAGAGGGAGATAAATAGTTTTTAGAGTACTAAGAAGGACACTAATTCAAACCTGCCTGGAAGGGAGATGTCTAGAAAGACTTTTTGGAGGAATAATGCCTGAAACATGTCTGAAATGAAGCACATCAGCCCAGGGAGAGAGAATGAAAATTAAGAACATTCTGGTAGATGGCAATACAAGCAAAGGAACAGTGGAACTGTCTACAACAAATTCTCCACTAGAATATCAAGTTTGTAGTAAGACTGGCAGAAGAAGCTGGCAAGCTCTAAACTGGTTGGGCGCCTGAACTGTATCAGTTGGCCAGCAGTTATATAACTAATCATCAAAAATCTTGCTGGAGATTTAGCTCAGTGGTTTCACCGCCTGCTACACAAGCACAAGGACCCAAGTTTGATCCCCAATACCAAAAAAAAAAAATCTTTTTCAGGGGGCCAGGGATTTAGCTCAGTGGTTACTCTGCCTGCTGTGCAAGTGCAAGGACCCAAGTTCAATCCCAGATACCAAAAGAAAAAAATCTTTTTCAGGGCCAGGGATTTAGCTCAGTGGTTCCAATGCCTGCTTCGAAACCACAAGGTCCTGAGTTCAATCCCCAGTACCCCCCAAAAAAAATCTTTTTCGGGTAAAAGTTTAGAGCAACTCAAACATCAACAAAAGTGCTCTGCTCTAAGGAAGTCAGGGGTGTTGGAACAGAGCTGAAGTCTTGTATACTTTATGCTCTTAACAAAATGCAATCACAGGAGTCCTGTGGAATCTGGAGGCATGATCTGAAAACTATGGGTTGGAAGCCATGAAAAGAAACCAGATAAAACACTGTCAGACTTACATTTCTGCTAAACTACTCTGGAGACTGTGTCCAACATTAAGTTAATAAGATCAAGACAGGTGAATTTCAAGAGTAGTGTAATATTCTAAAAGAGAATAAAGTCTTGAACTGGGATGTATTATATAATAACCTGTTGATTGAGAAAAGAGCTCTGGTTGTAGTTATATAAGATTTAGAGCCATAAAAAGGCTTTAAATCCTTGAGAAGACTGCAGACAAGTGATCTGAAATCTAAAAGAGCTCTGTTCTATTGTCTTGGATTTTTAGCTTAATACATATAGGCCTACATGCTAGCAAACATAAGTGTCTCTTGGTTAACGACTTCCGATCAAATTCAAATTTCTGTGGAGTAAACTATTTTAAAACTGAAGACTGTTTATTGACAGTAACAAGGCAGCAGACCCACCCGTTGGTCTAGGGATTCTATTTGGAGCCTGTTCTTCATAGGTTTATAGCTCCCTGAGGTAGAAAACAGTGCATTTGCTAGATGTTTTCCAAACTATCTTAGATGATTGGCTATTACCAGATCACCATATTCCATATATAGGAAGTTGGTCTGGGTCTTAGCTGAAATCTCTAGAACAGTCAAGGAATACCCATTAATTAGAGTCCCACTTTCTTTTCTGGGGCATGACAATTTTAACTTCAGTTCTGTTTTCTGACATAACTGGTGACAATATTAGATTGGACAATTCCTTCTTCACCCCTTATCAGTAATTTTCCACCTCTCTCGCATATCCAAACAATCTCTGAAAACTCTCTAATTACATTTAGCCAGCATAGCACATTCCATATGATTGTAATATGGTTAAGTATTCTTTCATTTTTCATAACTAATATTTCTCAGATTTACCATTACAGTTCATTGTAAATATAAGTACCTCACAATTCCAATTAACAAAAAACCAAAAATAGTACATAAATAAGAAAGAATGAGGTCTCTTAAGATCACAGTGATTTCTTTTCTAAGATTATTTCATAGTAATATTAACCAAAATGGAGGGTGCATTTGGAGGGAAAAAAAACCCTATAAACAGACAAACTTAAGTGACCATATGTGAGGCAAGAGGTAAGAATTAAAGGTGACATATTTAAGACCAATATTCAGAACCCTATGTAATAGACAATAGTCTAAAAATTGGGAACAAACAGGATCCATGGTATAGGTCATATTACAGAAGGAAGAAAAATAGTAAATGGATATGTTAATTTGGTTTCACAATATTATTCAAATTATAAAGGAAATAAAACCAAGCTTCCCTGAGACTATAAGGGTAAATTATAGGGCAATTCTCCCCTCACTTCAAATTCTGTATTGATTCCTCAAATAAACCAAAGTTAAGGAAAAGAGCTCAAATAATCTTTAATTGACAATTTATGTTGCTTTCTAATGTCTTTAATTCTCTGAGTAATTCTTCTTGCCCATGCTAGCTAAAAAGAATTCTACCACTAAACTATATCCCTAGAGCAGTGGTGGCCAACCTATGGCATGCATGGCACAGCGGGCTGTTTGTTATCATTGAAAGCTCTAAAAGGTTCACCATCACTGCTCTATACCCAAGGCTAAATAAAGTCTTAAGCAAACTTTTCCCTCTATACACATCTGTTTGGCTGCTGTAATCACAGCTATCATTAAACAGCTTTCTCTGCTTGGCTAACAAATAAAACACTGGTAAACTTATAAGAGATTGCAATCTTGTTTCCTTTCTACAATTCAACTGTGATGAGACATTCATTCCACTTTAAGTTTTCTATTTTTTGTAACTATTGTTGTCTTATAAGTTGAAAATAGTGTAAATACTGTTTAGTTTGATAATGTTGATGTACACTGTATTTTTTTTTTCAGTACCAGGAATCAAACTCAGGACCTTGTATTTGCCAGGCAGGCCTGGCATAGCTGAGCTAAATTCTCAGTCCAGTATAGTGTATTCTTAATGTGTCTATATACTGTATTCTTTTAGCACAGTAGTCATTTCACTGCAGAATAAACACAGTGCTTTGTCATCTAACTTGATAAAAATAATCCATACTCCATTCTGCCTCTAAAGAACAACATGTGAAGTACACTCTTGTCTGAACACAGTGAGTATTCACTGGTAGTAAAAGAAAAAACACTGTGATATAGTGATACATATGGCACTGAAAACGTTTGAGTTAATAACTGTAATTAATACTGTGCTGTGCAGCAGTGTGAAGCAGTGAGAGTGCCATGTACGTTCTCTGTTGCAACTACTCAACTCACCTGTAGTAGTACAAAAGCAACCATAGACAATACATAAAACACTGGGTATGGCAATGTCCTCATAAAGCTTTATTTATGAACAATGAAATTTGAACTTTGTATAATTTCATGTCATCATATATATCTAATAATTAAAAAGTTAAAAACCATTCTTGGATCATGAGTTATACAAAAACAGGTGATAGGATAGATTTGGCTGGTGGGTTTGCCCCTGCTCTAATGAAAGCTAGTTCCTACCTGGGGACAGTTTCCCCTGCAAGTCTCAACTGGTGACCTTTCTCTTTCTCATTTAGTCTACTAGACCTAGAAGGAGAATAGATTAACTCCACTTCTATCTCTACATCCCCATCCCTAAATATGCAAGATCTGATTTTTATTACATTGGATTATACCTCCTGCTACCTCTCATTATTGATGTAACCCACTGACTCTTAAGGTCACCACATCTCACTGCTAGACACTGTTGTTTGTGGGGCGGGGGGAGGGGTTTGGTACCGGAGATCAAACTCAGGACTTTGTGCTTGCAAGGCAGGCGCAGCACCACTGAGCTAAATTCCCGGCCTGACACTGTTAGTTCTTGATTTACTGATCTCTCCAATATCCTTTTACTATTGGATTTTAATTTTTAGTGATTTTAATATACCCACAGATGACACTTCCAAAAATGCCTTTCAATACATTTACTTCTTTCCTTCAATGATATTGTCCCTCACCTTCTCCCAGGCACTTGTTTCCACGGTGATATACCAGACCTCATATTACTAGTAATTATTATCTTTCCATAATTTCAATTTCAAACCTTCTTGCTAGAAG